AAATAATTTATCAAAGTTATCATTTTTAAGTTAATCGATCAAAGCATTAATAAAATAATAAAATAAACTATTAAGTTAATAGATAATATTATAATTTTCGAACAGGTCCTTTGAGGAAAATCCCAATAATTTGGTACTAAATGCAAACTCTAGCTACGAATGGTTGGAAGCCATCCCCAGCGCCAATCTTGGCCTCCTCATGCCTGGCGAACAGCTACGTATATCTATAGCCCTCCGCCTAGGCTGTAATGTCGTCGGCTGTAATGTCGTAGTTCCCTCCATCTGCATCGACTACCATCCCTTGCACTGCAAGTTCTCCCGTGGACGACAACCTAGTCATAAATCTATCAATAACATTTTACTAGCCGTCCTCAAAAAAGTTAATATCCCATCTACCCTCGAACCAGTGGGTCTTTCAAGCGAATACGTCATACGCCCGGATGATATTTCTCTCATACCCTGGTCTAATGGTCTTCCGCTAACATGGGATTACACTTGCGTTGATTTTGCAGCCAAGTCTAACATCTCATTTTCTGCTATCGAAAAGGCAGAAATCCTTAAAAAAAACAAATACGCTGTCGCCAAATGTTCATTCCTATCGTTACTAATACCCTAGGCATATTTGGAAACGAGGCCCTCAATTTCATTAAAATCATAGAAAAAAAATGAGACAGATCTCAGGGGACCCCAATGAACGATTTTACCTTCGCCAGCAGATTTCCCTGGAAATTTGCCGGTCTAATTTTTTAAGTATTCACTCTTCTCTTGGATGATATATACCCCCCTTTTTTTAAAATATATATATTTTTTTTATAGTCCTTTTTAATGTCTTCATAGATTATATATATATTATATATTTATTAATTTTTTTTATATTTAATTTTTAATATATCCATTTTAATATATATTTTTTAATCCTCTGTAATTTAATGATTATAAATAAATAATAAAGTCTATCTACAAAGTAAAAGGTTACTTTAGGGTAAAAATTAATTTTAAAAACACCATACATAATTAAATTTTCCTTTCAGCATTAAAATCAAAACTTTCTATTATATTGCAATTAGGATTGTAAAATATTTGATGGGAGGCGAGGGGGGGGGGTGATGTTAAAGCACTGTATTGTATACAATACATATATATTGAATAGTGTATTTAAGAGATAATTCAAGTTAAATATATTAATAAAGAGTATGAAATTTATTTATAGATGTAAAATTAAACATTATATATACTTGCAAAGTTAAAATAATACCAATTATATTTTATTATCATTTAATTCAACAAATGCTTAAAATGCATATTAAATATTTAAAAAGATCTTGATAATCCTCTTATTAATTTCAGCAATATTTAATTATGCGTAAATATTTATAAATATGAATAGAGGTGTCTTTTCTTGAAATCAATGAAGATATTAAAATATAAAAAAATATACATATATGAAAATTATAATATTATAAATATATTTCCCTACTGGATTTTAAATTATTTTATAACAGTTGATTTAAATGAACCAAGATTTTTACGAGTAAAAATTTAAATTTTTTACATTTTTTATATATTTTTTATATGATAATTTAATATTTGCAAATGCTATAAATACAATATCTTTTACATATGTTTAATAACATAATAATTATTAAATTATATTAGTTTAAAAAGTGAAAAACTATATTTTTTTAAATTTGGGCCTATGTTACAATGAATACAATATCAGATATCTAATTATATTAGCAAATATATGAATTTATATTTATACATTCTATAATGATTATTGAATTAACCATTATTTTGTGATCTCTGGAAAGTAAGCAATGGTCTTTGCTATTATTCCAGCTTAACATGCATTTGTTTAAGATTTTATATTTTTATCAAATTTTAAAAACTTATCTGAACTCTTATTTATGCTTTTAAGAATTTAGTTATAAGGCTAATCTTGTTTTATTAGTAGTAGAAAGGAATAGTTCACAGTTGTACTCTTTTGTCATTCCTTAACATAATACAAACTCACTTCAAATAAAAATTATTAATAAATTAATCGATTTTTATCAGCCATTTTAATAATTTAACAAAATTTTTTTCAACCAATCACTGTTAAGGATAATCGATCACATTAATTATTATTTTTATTCTAATGATCCTAATTAATTTTAGCAGCATTACTATTTAATACCCCAAATTGGCTTTAAATGTTTTAATATTTACTAGATTAATTGGATTTTTATTGTAAATTTTAGGAATCCAATTCACCTTGAACCAATATAACGGTTCCTAACTTATAGCATACATTATGGTCAAGCGGTGCGTTAATAATCTAGTCAATAAATAGGTATAATTTATAAATACGGAGCGTTAACCCAACGTTTGAACCGTTTACTATAAATTCATCGTTACAGTGATTAACTCTCATTTTTCATGCATCACATTATAATAATTGACGTAAGAATCTGATAATTATCCTATTTTGTCTTTGAAAATTTTTTCTCATATTTTAGATATGCTAGTCGTTATATGGCGTTAACAGGTATATTTTTTACATAAATATTTTAAGCATGTTGAGAACTCGGGTTACTGCTTGCGATGCCGCTTATAATCTTACCTTTTCAAATATATCAAATTTCTGATTTATATGACACGAAATAGCTTTTAATATTTTACCCTTTTTTTCTCTTACCTGATTCTATTAAAATTGATAATTAGGAAGGAATTTTATCTTATATTTCGCCATTTTGTTTTTTTGTTATAAATAATAATTACCAGATTTTTTTCATTATTTATTTTTTTGTAATTTAATTTCAACCAATCAAAATTTCGCAATCATATTTATTTTTCTGATAAAATGCGAAACGAAAAACGGAGGATAAATCAATAAATCACGTGAACTTGTTCATCATTATTTATTATTATTTGTTTATTTTAATATTTATTATTATTTGTTATTTTTCTAATTATGAATTACTTTTTTATTTTTTCCTTTCTTTTTTCATTTTTATTTCTTTTATTAAATTTTTTTAAAATGATATTTTTCGTTATAAAAAATAAATTATAATTATTCAAAAAAATAAATAAATAATAAATACAATTTGTAATTATTTATCGATAAATTTTTGCTTATTTTTTTATTAAAACCTTTAGTTTAGCAAAGATTTTTTTTCTCTGGAGTTCAGCTCCAGAGATTCCAAAACTATTTTATAAAAACTTAAAAAAGTACACCTTATTAACACCTTAAATTATGTTTTTATTACTTGTTTAAAAGAACAAATACACGACTTTTAATTTTGAATTGGTAGAGGGTAAATATTAATTTGTCGAATTTTGAGAATATTTCATTAAGAAAAAATCAAATTTGAACCTGCAATTTTTAAGTTTAGGTCTAATATATCTATCCTGCCCCCCTCATTAAATTAAGATTCACACCCGCCCGGCTTTGATCATATTGTAAGATTAAGAAGCTTGAGCATAATCTCACAAAATGTTAATCACCCATCTCACTATTTTCAAGGAAATTTCGTAACAATTAGTTTATTATAGGGCAAGATGTAAATATATTTCAGACCTAGGCCGGACCAAATATTTGAAATCACCATTTAAATCAAAAATAAATAATATATTTTAAAAAAACCCGGGCCGAAAATAATTTCTGAAAAAAAATTCGGCCGGGCCGTACAAATGGTACCTCTGCAGGTCTCTGATATATTTATTATACCGTTATTTGGAATAGGGCTATATTGGAAATTTGCTGTGAATCAAATTTCAAAGCGCGGCCATACTGAAATATAAGATATAAATTTTAGTGTAATAATCGTGGATTTTTATCATTTACAGTTGCTCTGTTTTATTGCTAAGTTAATTTTAAAATACATTTTTTTTTGCGAGTGTGGAATCTAGGCCATAAGTTAATTTTGAACATTGACAAAATATTATCCCTCATAGCGAACGAAATTTTATTATTCTATCTGTTCAGTATATTCATATTTAAAAAATAAGTTAATTTTTTTTAGGCTGCTTCTATAATTAAAGCACGAAAAATGACAAGAGACTAAAATGTAATAAGGTTGATACTTTATTAATTATTTTTATATAATTAACATTCTAAATTATATTAGGCTAAAGTCAACAGCATTCTAACGTTCAAGTGCATAATGCTAAATGCTATGTTAAAAGTTGAGTTTGAAAAGTAACTAGTTACAAGTTATATTTCAAAAGAAACTTAGTTACATTTCAAGTTACTTTATAAATATTTATAGAACTCATCATTTTTAATATAATGTTTTTATTATTACAAATAATTTTGCGATTTACAAATTTTAATCAATGGAATTAAAATAAAATTTGAATAAAGAAATAAACCTAAAAAATATGCCATAATATAATATTTATTTGCACTGGAAAAAATATAAAATTTACTTGCACAAATTATATATAATACAATTTAATATTCATTTTTCAAAGAAATTGATATTAAAATTTTGTTATTTGATTTTAATAATAATCTATTTTCAAAATTACTGTCTAAAAGGCCTGCTAGTTTTTCTCCAAAAAATTAGCTTCCGGCTAGAATAAACTAACATGCTACAGGAAAGCTTAATGCAAGTGCGACATTATATTATATTTGGATGAGATCATATAAAGATAATGAATGAGATCTACATTATAACATAAATATTTAATCAAAAGAGACTTATTACAGTTATTTTTTTACAAGAGTGTATTTAACAACACTTATTAAATAGTCAAAAATCGAGCATTGCAAAATATCATTTACAAATTTTTTATTTCAAATAGTTTCCATATTAAAAAATAGGCATAATCAATACGAATAAACTAATTAATCGTTTTGTTCATGCAGAATTATTCGATTCGAATATTAATTCGTTTTATTCGAATCGATTTTCTCTATTAATTTGATCGAATATTCGATTATTCAGAAGAATTATTAATATGATTTTTAATAAAATTTACTCTTTTATAATTTCTATTAACCTATCATATCAATCTGATAGATGATATGATTAACAAGGCATAACTGCGTGTGAAAAGTTTTTCATAGTTGGAACTAATTTGCTGTCAAAAAATCATATGTTCTATGAAGAAAAATAATAAGAAAGGTTTGTAATTTATAAATTAAAATAATATGCATTTGAATTTTATTAAGATGGGCAATAATTAAAAAATTTTGTCAATATATTTTTTTTTAGAATTATTTTATAAAAAAACGAATTATTCACATCGAATACAATTGGTAAATTTTATTATTCTTGCACCGAACACTACACTATTTGATTTCTGTTCGTTTTTAAATAGGCGTAATTTATATTATATTTAAAACTGCCTTACATAGCTTTAATATTTTATGATGACTATCAAACGCCCAATTTATTGAATTCTCAAATGCTAAAACACTCTGATAGGGCCTTAGCCTTGGAGATTTTTAAAATATTTTATACCTGTACCATCATGGCTCAATGGTGATCTAAAAAATGATTATTAGATGTAAAAATAAATAAAAGATTCCTCAAGGAACATGGAATACTTAAAAATAATTTTAAATGTTCTAGATTAATTCTAGATTAATTCTATCAAATTAAGAATGAATCAATTCGATAAATATTTTTTTTTCATTTATGTTCTTTATGAATTTTTTAATCGAATAACACTTTGTTTTAGAGTATATTTTCAGCATTTAAACTTTTAAATTTTACTCTCGAAAAGCACTAAATAATACATTTTTTTTAAATTAGTGATTCCAACAAAAAATACGACACACCATCTCCAAAATCTATGAGTGAACCCGATAACTCTTTTATTCTTCCTCAAGCCTTATCTGGCAATGCGAAACCTTCCGCTACTTTGGAAGATGAAGGTGAGGAAACCGATTCTTTAATTGCGGAAAATTTGGAAACCCAATCCGAAGTTGATTCTGCCACCTTCGCCGGAACAAATAAAGGTCAATATATTTTTTGTCAAATCATATCGGGTTATTAAATTTTTTGTGCAGTTATTTATATAGTTGTTTTTAGTATTTTTAATTGGGACATATAATAACAAGTGTTTTTTATGTTTAAGCATTTACTCTTATTAAGAATGAGCTTCTTCCCTAATTTTATCCATTATTCTGGTAGTATTTCGAATATTATATTTAAGATAGTACGCATCGTTTATTTATAAAACACTTAATGTCTCATAATCCGTTCAAATTATGCAGAAAAATCAAGAAATACTTCGAAATTTTCTATTGTGCCAAGGCGGTATTTGGTACATTATCACGAATGATTAAATGAATTTTTTTATTCCCCAAAAGTTAATCATCTCATTAAAATATGGGTTATGTTTTTAACTGAATATAACTTAAATATTTTATAATCCTTGTTTATTTTTAGCTACTCTTTCATTTAAAATAATTCAATTTTTTAGCCCGATTCTAATATTTTTTAAAAACAAAAATATTGGCTCAGCTTTAAAAATGATAAATTTAAAGGATATTGCTTAGATTGGCGCAATTCTATCATTGCATCATATATCACATCAAAAAATCCAAATAACTTTGCGACTCATTTATTATTTTAATTTTTAATACACCAATTTAAACAAGGTACATGCTTTTTTAAAATTTCTTTTGAATTGAAAACGATATATATGTAAGCACCATTAGCGACAAATTTATCCATTGCCAAATTGGTATATGTTAGCACAAGGTTTTTAGTCATCCTCATCTTTTAAATTAAGGGAAAGGGAATTAAAATAGTCTCGGCTTTATTTCGAATATTCATAAATTTTTTGATCGTAAATGATATTATTTTAAAAATTCGGGCCTGGTTTAATAACAAAATATACCCAAGCTTGGTCGGCATAAGCGTATTTTTTTTATACAAAATCATGCCGTGCCGCCTTTTAAAAATAAATTTATTAATACCAATTAATTGGAAAATCATATAAATAAATCGTATTTGCCATTCATTTCCTCCGTATATTTTCAATTTCTTTTTGAAACAAAATACACCAAAAATTATGTAAAATGTCTAGATTTAATAAAATGCTGGCAAGGCCGGGCTTAAAATAATAAAAATACTAAAGACCAGGGGCCCAGCTTTAATCAAGATCCAAGTTGGTAAAAATGTGAAATTTTGAATCCGGGCTGGGTCTAAAAAGCTGACCTCTGCAATTTGATTTTTACTTTCGTGTAGTGGCGTTACTAGTTGCAAAACCGTTTAAAATAGCTATATATTTTAGCCAAACGTTTTTTTGAGCATGTGACTAATCAATTTTTTTTAAAATTTTTAGTTTGCTTAAATAATAACTACATGATACTATTAAGAAGCTTACTTGCTATGAATTAATTTAATACTAAAAAATATCTTTATAAAATCAATATTAGATTTAATTTAAATTATATGCTTTTTTACAAATCAAAATTGTTTATATTTATTATAGAAATTTGAAATTATAAGGTATTATAAGGCTGAAATTAATAAATCTAGAATTTTTCTTATTTTTAATTAAAACTTTTTTCTTACATCTTAAATAAAATGCCTTAAATTTAAAATCAATATTTTGATTTTGAAAAAGGGATTTTTATTTTTATTGACTAAATTAAAATGCCTTTTAAATTTACTTATATAGAACTCTCAGTATTTATTACGATACTTATTTCAAAAATCTTACTATCACTACTTTATAAAGTTGTTAATAATTTAATAGGTATGATCACTTATAGTGTTGTAAGGATATCTTGTCCAATATTAACTAAACTACCTCCTTTTATTTTATTTTTTTATTAATAAATTTATTTATACTCATTATACGATATAAATTAAAAGAATAAAAATATTATTACCCCTTAGATTCGGACCACAAACTCGCCAACTCTCCCGCTTTTGAAGGATACCCTGGTACTGGTTCGATTGTCAATGAAATATCACATCCAGCCCCACTTTTATCTACTGACACCACACGAAGAGGCTCAGTGCGGAGAGAAGTCAAAAAATTGTCGGCTCCAACAGGAACTACCCTCAAAAGAGGGAGCGTTTCGGGTGGGGCTCGAACTCGCAAACGTGCACGAAAAAACAAAAGGCGAAAACGTGATCACAATGGATACGGCTCTATAGACGAGGAAGATGATGACAACGATTCAGAAGTGGGTCATGATCGAGAAAGAGCAACCAAAGAAGAGCACATGGACGGTGACAGAGATAGATCAGACGAGCATGCGGTAGAAACCAATAAACGCGCCAAGAGAGGAAGATTGGAAGGAGAAACGGGACGTGGACGGAAACTCGTAGTTGCACCACTCAAGATAAAGCTGGGAGGGGGCAGAAAAAGAGGTGCTATACCTGCTATAGGAGAAGATAAAACGACTGAAATCTCTCAAGATGCTTTCATTGCTTCGGCCCAGAATGATGCAATTACAAATGGGAATGGACCGATTAGTGGTGATTTATTACCTATTGCGGCATCTGCTCGCAATAAAAGGCGTGGTGGACTACAAAATGAAGCTCCTCTTATGATAAATACGGAAACTATTTTGACAGGTGGAAACAAACCGTCAGCTAAATTGAGCTCTAACCGAAGGCGCAAAATTTATAAATTGACGGCGGAAGAAGCGGGGGGTATAGAGCCAGTTGATAACACTATATCCATCGATAAGACATCACAGAAACACCAAGATGAGGAAGAAGGCTACGAGACCGAGCACCAAGATTACTGCGAAGTATGCCAGCAGGGAGGAGAAATACTTCTGTGTGACACATGCCCACGGGCTTATCATTTGGTGTGCCTTGAACCCGAGCTAGAGGAGGCACCTGAGGGGAGGTGGAGTTGCCAGCATTGTGAAAACGAAGAGACGGCCAATCTAATTCCCCTTCACGACCCAGACGAGGAGGGTAGTGGAAGCGTGCTTGCCAACAAACTCGAACCACTCTCTGAAGGCAAGGGCGGGGAAGAATCTAGCACCATTCCAATATCGCGCCTTGAAAATTGCAAGATTTGCAAAGAAAACACAACCAATGATCCATCACAATTTTTTCTCCGTTGTGACACCTGCCCTAATGCTTATCACGTCAACTGTATAAACCCTCCCCTATCCGAGATGCCAATCGAAGCTGTGCCCTGGATATGTCCCAGATGTTTGTGCCCACCTTTGAAGGGTAAAGTGAAAAAAATTCTTACCTGGAGATGGTTGTATCACACAACACGTAAAATTAAAATGCCCGATGAAAGTGGTGGGGGAGAATGTGTTTTGCTTCAACTCGAAGACACCACGGCTGTAGAAGAAATAAAAGAGACAATTTCTTCCCAGGATAAGGATGACAAAATTGTGACTGAAAAGGATGATTCATTGGTTGCTCTGTTTGAAAAAAAGGATAACAAGCTCGAGTCTATAAAGGAAGAGATCGGCACCAAACGTTCAAGAGAATTTTTTGTTAAGTTTGAACAGTTGTCATATTGGCATTGCGCTTGGGTTTCGGAATTAGAACTTGAGGTTTGGCACCCGATTCTTTTGCGAATTTACTTCAAGAAAAACGATCCAGAGGAGCCTCCCGTACCCGATGAGGAGTTTTGCTCGTTCAAAAAAAAGAGCCATACTAAGGGCGACATTCAGAAATACGACCTGATTAATAGATTTTACAAATTTGGAGTCAGACCGGAATGGCTCGAAATTCATAGGATTATAGGACATCGGGCGACTAAAAAAGGTCGAACCTTTTACCTCACTAAATGGAAAGATTTGCCTTACGACCAAGCTGTATGGGAGAGGGACGATGCGGATATTGTTGATTTCAAACGTAACATCAAAATTTATCATCGTTTGAAAGAAACTATCGATGCCGACATCGCTATGTCAAAGAAGTTGGCTGCCAAATCGAAGCGAAACAAGCTAGATGACGCGTCCCTCAAAGAGGATCGTAAAAAGGAACTCAAAAAGAAGTTAGACCTGCAACCCGATTACATAACCAAAACTGGCGGCACTCTCCACGAGTACCAATTGGAGGGACTTAATTGGCTCCGTTACTCCTACGCTCACAATATTGACACGATACTGGCGGATGAAATGGGTCTAGGTAAAACCATACAAACCATCACATTTTTATATTCCCTTTACAAAGAGGGCATCACTCGTGGACCCTTTCTTATAAGCGTTCCTTTATCCACCATAATAAATTGGGAACGGGAGCTCGAATTTTGGGCCCCCGAATTTTATGTTGTGACTTATACCGGTGATAAAGATTGCCGATCTATAATACGCCAACACGAATTTTCGGCATTAGATGGCGCTTTTCACTCCTACAAACAGGCACATCGTTTCAAGAAGGATCATCCAATTAAATTTAACGTACTTCTCACTTCGTATGAGCTCACTACCATCGATTGCACCACCTTAAACTCAATCGAATGGGAGATATGTGTAGTGGACGAGGCTCATAGGCTCAAAAGTAACCAATCTAAGTTTTTTAAAATTCTTAACGATTACAAATTCAACTATCGTCTACTACTTACCGGCACGCCCCTTCAAAATAACTTAGAGGAGCTTTATCACCTTTTGAATTTTATGAGCCCTGATCGTTTTAATAATCCGCAACTTTTTTTGGACGAATTCGCAGATCTCACTAAAGAAGAGCAAGTTAAGAAATTACACGATCTCCTGGGTTCGCATTTGTTAAGGAGACTTAAATCGGACGTACTTTTTAATCTTCCAAAAAAGAGTGAAGCAATTATTCCGGTTAATTTGACTCCTTTGCAAAAGAAATTTTGTAAATATATCCTGACGCGCAATTTTGAAGCTCTAAACGCTAAAGGAGGACCTCAAACGTCTTTATTGAACGTTATGGTAGACCTCAAAAAATGTTGCAATCATCCCTACCTTTTTTCCAATGCTGCATTGGAAGCACCTAAGTTACCCAACGGCGCTTTCGAAGGTACAGCTCTCGTAAAGGCTTCGGGTAAATTAATTGTACTCGCTAAGATGCTCCGTATACTTAAAAAGGAAGGGCATCGCGTTCTTATTTTTAGTCAAATGACCGCGTTATTGGATCTACTTGAGGATTTTTGCGATTCTGAGGGTTACAAATTTGAGCGGATCGATGGAAGTATAACAGGCAGCCTCCGCCAGGATGCGATAGATCGCTTTAACACTCCTGACTCTCCTATGTTTGTGTTCTTGCTATCAACTAGGGCCGGTGGCCTGGGCATCAACTTGGCCACAGCCGACACTGTCATCATTTACGATTCGGATTGGAATCCTCACAACGACATTCAGGCCTTGAGCAGGGCCCACCGCATCGGCCAATCTAATAAAGTTATGATATATCGTTTTGTCACTCGTAACACAGTGGAAGAGCGCGTAGCTCAAGTCGCCAAAAAGAAAATGCTGTTAACTCATTTGGTCGTCAGACCCGGGCTCGGTTCGGCGAAGGCTTCTGGGCCTTCTTTCACTAAGAAAGAATTGGACGAGATATTAAAATTCGGAACGGAAGAGTTGTTCAAGGAGAATGAGAGTGAAGATCGGTCAATCGTGTACGACGATAAGGCTATCGAGGAACTTCTAGATCGCAACAAAGAGGAGGCTCTATCTGGTAGCAAGCATCAGTACGACGATTACCTCAGTTCTTTCAAGGTCGCTGAGTATCAATTCGAGGAGGAAAAAGCCGACCCCGATGAGGACGAAAATGACGAAGTTAAGTTGAGCCTTCTTGATGGCGATGATAGATTCATACAAATCGGCGACCTCAAAAATATGGACCAAAACGATCCGACGTACTGGGAGAAATTGTTGAGGCATCACTATGAACAGCATCAAGAAGATTTGTCTAAGACGCTCGGCAAAGGTTTTTTTAATCATGTTGCTTATTCTTATTTGGTTAATTGTTAATATGCTTTTAGATACAAGTACGTAGGGTGTGGAAGGAAATGATTAATTTGATTTAAATTACAAATGAAATCTACCTATTTTTATTTAAAAATAATTTATTTTGGGGTTTAATTAATCATCAAATTTTAAAGCTTACTCCAAAAAGCTTTGTTTGATATCGATTTCATCCTTCGATTCCTGATTTTTATTATATATATTTGTGGTAAATATTATCTGATTTTAATGAATAAGAAACATTTTACACCTATATTGATTTTATTACAATATTAATTTTTCAAACTCAGGATTTTAGTACAATTCTTTCATCTAATAAGAGCAAGATTTTATAAATTCACATGAATAATAAATCTAATTAAGAATCGAAAAGTTCATAAATTTATTATTAAATAGCATGGTATATAATTTTTATCGATAACACTGGTTGTAATATATAGTCAATTATAATGCTTGGCCATATAAAATCAAAAAAATCCGAATAAAAAATTTTGAATTTTTTTAAAAAAATACCGATAATTTAAATAAAACCCTGCACGTATGTAATCATTTTAAATTAAAAAAAATAACAGACCGTGTCATGGATTATTTAATAATGAAATTTATGGTTATCATTGTATAAATTTATGGTTTAATGATCTATATGCATTTATATATCTAACCCCCAATTTAAAGGCAAACGCGTTCGAAAGCAGGTCAACTATAACGATACCCAGGTTACTAGTTCCTCCGCTGCAACATCCACTTCTTTGAACGCTCCAAATGGCTTTGACCGTACCGTTTTAACTTCAACCATGGGAACTGCCAATCATTATGACTCGGATTATTCGCTGACGCCCGCTGAGGATATGGACGAGGAGGATGACTTTGAAGACGAGGATGATGGTGACGAAGATTTTGATGAACGCACTGACCGCTTGAATGGAGGAACAGGTGGAGGAGTGAATTTTATGTCACGAAGGAGAGTCAACCCCTCTACTGTCGACAATAAGCCCCTTCCCCCTTTGCTAGCCAAGGTTGGCGGTTCTGTTGAAGTATTGGGATTCAACGCACGTCAACGTAAATCTTTTCTCAATTCTATCCTTCGATTCGGTATGCCTCCTGATGACGTTTTCAATTCTCAATGGCTTTCACGTGACTTGCGTGGTAAGACGGAAAAGATTTTTAAAGCTTATGCATCACTCTTTATGCGTCACTTATGCGAGACGGGCGATGAAAATGCTCCAACTTTTTCAGACGGTGTACCGAGGGAAGGTATCTCACGTCAGCACATTCTAGCTCGCATCGGAATCATGTCGCTCATTCGTAAAAAAGTTAGCGAATTTGACTCTTACAATGGTCGTTTCAGCATTCCTAATTTAATACCCAATCCTCCCATCCTCGATATTTCCACTAACAGTTCTCTTCCCCAAAACGGAGAACCATTGAATGATTTAAATAATGACAATGATATAACTACATCTGATTCGATTCCCTCAACTACCTCTACACCTAACCCACTTAATTTGTTCACAAGCAGTGCCACACCCAAACCTGAAAAAGCGAAAACCTCCACAGTGATGCCCAAAAAGTTTTATTTTAACATAGCTGACGGGGGTTTCACCGAATTACACACTCTCTGGTTAAATGAAGAGAAAGCGGCTGTACCCAACCACATGTACGAAATCTGGCATCGACGTCACGATTATTGGCTTTTAGCTGGGGTTGTTAATCATGGATATGGTCGTTGGCAGGATATCCAATCTGACACCCACTATGTCATCATTAACGAGCCTTTCAAAATGGACATTGGTAAAGGAAACTTTTTGGAGTTAAAAAACAAATTTCTTTCTCGTAGATTCAAGCTTTTAGAGCAAGCACTCGTAATTGAAGAACAATTACGGCGCGCCGCATTCATTAAATTACAAGAAGATCCTAACCAATCCGTCATGACTCTTAATGCTAAGTTTTCGGAAGCTGAATGCTTGGCCGAATCTCATCAACATTTATCCCGTGAAAGCTTAGCCGGTAATAAACCTGCAAATGCAGTTCTTCACAAGGTTTTGAATCAATTAGAAGAGCTGCTTAGTGACATGAAACAAGATGTGGCCCATTTACCCGCTACCTTATCTCAAATCCCTCCCCCAGAACAAAGGCTTCAAATGTCGGAAAAGCAATTATTACGATTTTTGACTCATCCAGAGGAAGCCCAAAATTACCCATATTTTAAACCTAGCTACACTTCAGGACCATTTATATCCAACTACTTAGTCAAACCAAATAATTCCGGAAATTCGCAACATTCTTTGCCCTTAATCACTAAGTTTGATAAGGGAAATTTATCAGGACACCAATCCTCGCAATCGCCCATAACTAATACCCTGAATAGAGAAGATAGGAATAGTGTTCGGAAGGATGATCGTAAAGAGATAATATGTTTGGATGATTAAATACATTAAAATTATATATGTTCATTATTGTTTATAAAAAAATATTTTCCTATTGTAATATACTAATTTAAGTTATTTTTTATAAATTTTGAAATAAAATTTTTAAAATGTGCCTTTGCGTATGATTTATATTTATAATATACTACATTTAATTAAAATAAAAATTACCCTACTGCTATTCTATTCCTATTTGAATGCTACAATTCATATTTTTTAAATCTAGTCAAAGTTAAGTGATTAATGTTTTTTCCAATCATGATTATTCCATTTATCACCCCCTTTATTTTGACAGAGATATTGATTTATTAAAACCAGGGACGTGTATTGCGAGGGGGAGCCTGCTAATTATTTTTAAGTTTTTAGCTCCTTTTCAAAATTTTGAAGAGGGGCTGAGTCCCCTGGACAAAATTTTTTAAATAATTTTTCTATAGTGTTAAATTTGATTAGTGACGGCGCGCCGTTTAAAATTTTTTAAATGCGATTTGATTATATTTATACATTAAATTATTATTTTTTAAATTTGAATATTAAAACTATATACAATTATGAAACAACTCTATCTAACAATCTTTTAATAACGAATGAGACCTAGTTTACGAACTATTCGCATTGATCGATTCAGAAAGTTTAAAATTTCATTCCTCCCAAAGGGGATCAAAAGTTAAATAAGGGTTATTATTTCACAGTTAAATAATATACAAATCAATGAATCTGATATCTCAATCATTTGTCTAAAAAAGTATGTTAAAAAAACTTGACCATAGCTTTCTAATTACCGAACTGCAAGTAATTTATTCTATATAATAATCTTTATTTGATATTTTTATTAATAAAAATTTATTTAAAATATTTTGAACATTCGATATTAGCGACACCTCTTAGTCCGATTCCAAAATCTTAAATTAAATTTGAATTTTATTACATCTTTGCCAATTTTAATTTGACATTTAAAACTTTTTCTTGACAGAAACGCAGAGAGTCAAATAAGATAAAAGTAAGCTGCAAACATCCAAATCAATTCACGTATAGCTAAAATAGCTCGTAAACATTCCTTTTTAATCAATTATTATAACACTAGCAATCTAGAGCAGGAATGTCATATTGCTCGACCAACATACTATACCAGAACAGGATGTACTAACGATTTGGGAAAAAGTGATTAGAACCTTTCTGGACTTGCTAATTTAGTTAGAAAAGCATTTTGCATATCTGCTACCAGTACATTGAATGAATTTTTTTCATCGCTGAATTCTTACTCAATGTCAAAAGAGCCTCTCAACAAAATTATATTTATTGACGGTAATTATTTTAAATAAATTTGATTTTTAATTTATTTATATTTCTTATTTTATATTCTGTTGCATTCCAAATTTATATGTTAATAAATTTGTTTTAATAAAAATCGATAGAATATGACCTGGGTAAAAAGGCAATTTCCTAGACTATTTCAGAGAATGAAAAATACATAAATTTATATAGGGTGGGAGAGGAAATGATTTAAAAAATCATATTAAAAATGTTGGAACTAAGATAAAAAAAGGTAATAGATTGAATTAAAAATTAATACATTTCTAAGATACGTAGCACTACTGACACCGTAAATTTCTTAGGCGGTTCAGCGAGCCGTTGAAGTCCAATAAACAATATTAAAAATACCGTCGCGCTGACTGAGAATACGATGTACAGGTCTAATCAGATAGCATTAAAACAAAAGCCAATAGAAACAATGCTTCTTTTCGGAGAAGAAAATGAAATAATAAACTGAAAGGTTTTTAAATTTTAACAGTGGCGTCAACTCCACGAGGGTGGCAGAATTTTCTACCGAATGAAATATTCCAAGAAATAGATATTATTGATCCCTTAATATTTTAAACATCAAATTTTCTTTGAAAAAATTCATAATACCTATAGTGCTTTATTTAAAGCATAGAGTCAAATTCCAAGTAGTGGTGATAAATGGCTCCATTTTTAGTAGCTTTTAAGTCGACTCTAGAAAGACTAAACCAAATTTTTGAGTGATATGATAACTATCTTCGCCTCAATCGAGGTTTAAACTTAGATTAACTCACTCTTATAGGATTGAGTCGATTTGACAACATTACCTGCAAGTAATGTCCATTTATCAAAATCTTTTAAATTTTAAAAAATTTGAAATTTTAAGGTAGGTTGATAACTGTTAAGATTAATCTATCTACTTTGAAAATAAATAATAAATTAATGCCAATGAACCATTTTTTTTAATTGATTAACTGATATTTAAAAAAATTAAATCATTAGAAACATGTTGGCATAATATTTAAATATCATGTTTGTGATATTTACAAATGTCGCTCGATTCAGAAATTTAACTTTCATTAAAAATATATACTATTAAAAAATCCGAAAATATTAAGATTAAAAACAAGTTTATAATTTCTCTAGAAAGCATTATATGGTCCCGTCTGATACCTTTGAAAACAAGAGTCAAATTACTTGAATAAATTTTAATATAATAATTTTTTTATTTTATAAATTTCCAATTGGCCACTACGCGATTTGGCTAGATGGAAATAAAAAGAATCTGCCAAAGTTCAAATTAAATAAATATAGATAATCGAGCGATTTTAAGTGTAAATAATTTGTCAAATTTAATATTCATAAATATGAATCTTCGATATCAGAATGGATTCCAGATCCAATCTGTAGTATTAGATTTGTGAATTATATATATAAAATAGTGGCTACCCCAACCTCCCCCCCCCCCCAAAAAAAAAATTTTTTTTTTTAAGCAATACACCATTTGACCTTACTTGTAAACAAAATATAGTAAATAAATATTTAAAAGAAAAAAAATGTTGCCTCAATACAATTTATATGCAAAAATGCTTGGTCTCTGTTACCACATGGACAATCTGCAGATTGCAAAACTACCAAGGCGACTTCATGATTTATTACCAGAATTTGGAGTAGTGTTGTTAAATTGCCTAACTTTATACAACTATAAAACAGCGTAGCTATGTATTTATCCAAATATATTCGAATCAATCTTCAAGTTGAGACTCAACTTAGAAGCTTAATTCAATTTTTTAGGCTAAAAGCTTGACTAAGCCACAATAGAAATGGTCAAAGATAGGTAATTTAACAACACTAATTTGGAGCAACAAGACATTTGATGAGTCTGGAAAAATAGTTATTCATTATTTTCTCCTAATACTTTAGAAATATCTGATATACTAAATAAATGCATCTTAGCTCATCATCAGAATTTGGAATGTAGCAATACAATTTGACTAGTCTATAGCAAAAATTTTATTCTTTATTTTAGCTTCATATTTAAGAGATAAGTGATAGTCTAAATTTTAAAATAAGAACTTTTAATCTTCACAAACTTCCGATTTTAGCTAGAAAATCTAGCTGCAAGCGAATACAAGAATCGTGTATCCATAGATGGATCTATATTCTGACCCTCAAATCTTAATAAAAATATTTTATACAAGATAATTTTAACCTAATAAAACCGTTAAATTGATAAATTTAAATGATTTTATAATAAATAAAAATTCGAAATCTTTATAAGTTTTATTTCAAAATAGTGTTTCCAATAAAATGAAATTTTTTTAAAAAAAATATTCGGCACCGCCGATTCATGATAGCGTCAAATTTAATAAACCTGATCAGCCGATCTTTGTAAAAAAATAAATAGAACTCTTAGTGCACAACTACTTATAAGTAACTAGTTATAAAAGTAATCTAACAAAGGTAACTATACTAGTTAAAAATAACGGAAACTAGTTACAAAGGTAATTGTAACTAGTTAAAGTTACAAGTAACTAGTTATATTTATTAGTTATAGGTAAATAATTACAGATAATTTAGGTAACATAACTAACTAGTTATAATGAGGTGATAGTTAATTTTTGTCAAAAATATTTCTACTTATGTTAAAAAAAAATTTAAAGTTATTTTTAAGTTCCATTTTATAGTATTAATTAAGTTTATACAATGATCTCCAAAATTTAAAAATACGGTTTATTTACAGGGGTTCCCTTTCAAAAAAGGAAAAGTCTTTATCAAACAAGGAAAAGTTTCAATCATAAAAGGAAACGGTCCGATCAAAAAAGGAAAAGGGTTAATCATAAAAAAAAGGTCCAATCAATAAAAAGTGTCAATCAAAAAAGAATTCCCAAAAGGAAAGGAAAAGTGATCAAAAAAGGACTTTTTCAAAAAAGGAAAATCGTTATTTTTTTAAAAATTATAAATTTTTATTTTTCTTACTATATCTTTTCTCAATATTTTGTTCTTCTCATTTTTGATAATTCTTTTGTCTTTTTAAATATAATTTATATTTTCCGTTATTTTTTCTTCACCTCTCTGCTCCATATTTTAAACAATTCTTTACTTTTATTTTGACTTTTCATGATTTTTTCTCCTTATACTGTAATTTTTTACATACATTTCTAACCTTTTCAATCTTTATTTTTTGATCTTTTCTCAATTTTTTTTCTTCTCATTTTGATAATCCTTTTTAGGTATTATATTTAATTTTCACTAAACTTTTAGCAGACAATTTTTTTTATTTGAATTTTTTGCATATTAAATTATTTAATTACATATATTAAATTAATCATTTGGTTTTAGTACCTTTTTAAAATTAAATAAGTTTGAACTGTAATACCAAACGATATATAAATTAATAAAACATACTCATTTTTAAATTCTTATAATATTTATGCAAGAAGTATTCAATACTTTTGAGCAGGTAAATGATTTTTTTGTATTTTTAAAACTATATTTTCTGATTTATGAATAATTAATCTTAAAATGAGGTAAAAGTTGTAGTCTTTTTGTCATTCCTTCCATTTGTTGAGTATATATCTTAAAAGAAATTTTTATTTGTTTTAAAAAATAAAATTATGAAAATGTATTAAACAAGGAGGAAAACATTAATAGAGTTACAAAAGCTCTAATAATTGACGGTTAAAATGGGATAGTATCAAAAATGTAGAATCATGTTTTAAAGTAAGCTATAAAAGACAGTGACAAATATTAAATACTCTTGTCTCAAAAATGGAATCCAAAGGAGGTTCATGTGAACGCAAGAAATTAAATCAAGAACAGGAAGAATATATATTACAGG